GCCTGCTGTTTCACCTTGAGCAAGAGGCCACTGCTGACCCTGCCGGCCTCCAGCCCGGTCACAGAGGGGCTGGACCCACGGGCTCCTGACAAAGCCTGGCCCCTACTGGGCGAGGCTCCACAGGAAGATGAGGGCGGGCCCAGACCCAGTCGCATCTCTGGGCCCATCAGACCAGCTGGTGGCCTGGCAAAGGGTTTCTATCCTTGCCCCCTATACTATCGAGGCAAGGGACATAGCCACCCCCTAGCCAGAGCACCAGGCCAGTTAGCCTCCATAAGCAGGATCTCCAGCCTCCCAGGGCCCGGCAGGGAACTCGCCCTAAGCAGCCCGCTGTCACTGGTGCAGCACGGAGCCTAGTGCAGAGAGGCCTGCCTCAGACAAACGGAGAAATAAATAAACACTCGCGCTTTGAACCGACTTCCAAATGAAGAGCCGCCTGGCGCTGTCAGCCCGCCAGCGGCTGCCGGGCACCTCCGAGAGGGCCCACCCGGCTGCCGTCTGTTAGAGTGATGAAGGCAGAGGGATCTAAAATTGCACTCTTCCTTAATGAGCAGCCGAAGGGATCGGTAAGCATAATTTCAGAGGCCAGTAATATTTTATATAATCGCCGAGTGGTTTAAATTGAAAACCCCCAACTGAATCAATATTTACTGCGTTGAGACGAAATGAATAGTAATAAGTCACTAAGCTCCCTGTCCTGTTTCATAAAATAAAAAATTATAAAAATGAGCACGGGCACAGAGGGGCCATCACATTAACTTTCAGAGCACTCGGGGAGCCGCAGCCGACTGTTCACATAAAATAAAACTCTAAAAAACCTGCCGCAGAGACCTGGTTCAGCACCCACCGGGCAGTGTCTGGGGCCAAGCTCTCACCTGAGCTCCAGTGAGATGGGGGCACCCACACCCAGAGCCCACCCAGGCCCCAGCATGCAGGGACACAGCCCTCAGGTTGCTTGTGAAGGAGAACTCCCTTTTGGGGCTGGGGTGGTCCTCATGGGTGTCCATGGGTGGACTGCAGGAGCACTCCCTGAACTGAGAGGGAGGAGTACACAGAGCATGGGGCTTGCTGGCCGCAGGTGTCCCCAGAATCCATATGAGGGTCCTGGCTGTTGGCCCACAGGTGCGAGCCTGAGTAGAAATGAGGGCTTCTATGGTGACATTTCATGAGGCCACATGGAGTAGGCTGCCTCCTGCACCTAACCTCTCCGAGTCCCAGAAAGAGCAGCGCAGACACGTCACCTGGGGACGTGCTGCACTGAGACTGCAAGCCATGAGCTGGGTGGACACACACTGTCAGGAGAGTGTTTGCAGCACTGGGCTGGGCCACCAGCCTGGGGAGCTCCCAGCAGGGCAGGGGCCCGCTGCCACCAGGAAGGCAACAGGGTATGAGGTGTGTGCACATGTCTGCCTGTGCACTACAAGGGGCTTCTTCCGAGTCTGGAAACCCCCCTTACCTCTTATTATCTTTCCACACACTTTTAGAAGCCCTCTCTTGGGTATGAGTGGGGGGGAAAGGGTATCTATGTGTATGAGCATGTTATGTTTCTCTCTGTGAGCATGTTATGTGTATCTGCGTGCATCGATGATGTACAGGTATGCCTGTGTGAATGCACATGAGCATGCAGAGTCTTCCCTGTGGCCACACCCCAGGCTCCCCTGGAGCAGCCTGTTTGGGGGCCCATCCTGTGTGGTGCTGACAGCAGCCACGGCCCCTGCAATAAAGGAGCCAGAGCCCTCTGTGGCAGTGACGGCCCAGCTGATGAGCAGTCAGCCAGCCTGGGGGTCTTCTGCATCCAGGCCTTGCGGGGGGCCTAGGCCATGAGGATCAAAGTGAATGGCAATGATGACCCAGGAGCTCCAGGAGTTGTCCCACCCCACCCCATGCCCACTCCCACTGAAACTAAGAGTTCAGGGGAGTGTGACCCGTGTGCTGACCGAAGACTGGTCTGTGGCCTCAGTGCAGGGCCAGCTAGCCAGTAGACACGCTGCTGCAGCAGCATGGCCTGGAGGCTGGCAGCCAGTTAGGCTGCACATATGTCCCTGCACCTAGCCACTCACGACTCAGGCATACCTACCCTCAGCCCAGGCCATCCCAGCCCACCTACCGCTAGTCGCTGGGGACCCTCAGGCTGAGCCTGCCTTCCCTTTACCCACAGCTGGGTCTGCAGGGGCAGGAGAGGGGACTCCTCCCCATATCTTTGGCCACACCTGCAGGGTCGGCCCTCCACGCCTGCGTCTGTGGACACCCTCGGTGTACACCACTAGGGGCAGGGCTGGAGGAGTAGGTGCCCTGCCCATCAGCAGCTTGGCTCCTCTGTCTGTGACAGGGCATCCTCAGACCTTGGCACCAAGGCAGAGAAGCCTGAAGATCGCTGTGCAGATGCAGGAATACAGCGGGGAGGGGTGTCCGCTCCGTGAAGGGCCATTTGTCGTCAGGGCGGGGGTGGGAGGCCCATTTATCTGCTCAGCCCAGCGCTTCTGTTTATTCCGCACTTTTGCATCCGATGAATCCAGAGAGGAGAAAAGAGGCAGGCAGGTTAGGAACATAAGTCACGTCTCTGCCTCTCTCCGGATGAAGGAGCCTGCTGGAAGCCAGGAAAGGGACAGCCAACTCGCCCACCTCAGGACCACAAAAAAGGGGACCCTTGTCGCCCTCCCCAGCATGAGGGACAAGGCCAATGCAGGGAGTTCAGTGAGGGAAGCCCTTGAGGAGGGATCTTGGCAGGCACCTGTGGCCTTGCTCCTGCCACGTGCTGAAGCCCAGCGGGACACAGGCTTGGGCACAGCCTGGGCAGGTGCCCTCAGCCAACGGGCACCAACTCAGTCTCAGCACGGAGCTGGACCTGGTGTCCCTCAGCTTGGCCACCAGACGAGGGAGAGAGGCACAAGTGATGTCACTGGGCCATTCCACCACACACACACAACCACAATCAGAGCTCCCAGCTGCCCATGTGACTGGCCAGGGCAGCAGCTCGAGGACTCACCCCAATGGGTGCCCCTGACCCTGAGAAAGTCTCCAGTGTCCATGTCCCCAACAGAGACCAGCATGTCCCTCCCCTTGCCATGTCCCAGAAAGGGTGCGGGTCCCTGCAAGTATGATGGCCCAGCTTCTCTATAGGTACCTACACACCAGCCTGCTGAGAGGGGGATGCCGCGCATGTTTGGGGGGGAAGCTGAAAGCCGCTTGGGGTCAGACGTGGCCAAAATGGGTACCCACACCTGCTCACACTCACATGATCCTACTCCTGCTCCGGCTCATAACCACTCACATGGTCAAAGCCTTCGGCCTGGCTGGTCAGCCCCACAGCACCTGGCCACCACAAGAACACCCCATGCCCAGCCTGCCTGGGCAGCCCGGCGTCCTCTGCCCAACATACCACTGTAGTTAGGACCTGCTGACTGCTCGGACGGATGCCAATAGGGCCATGGGGAGCAGGAACCAGCCCACCCTGACCCCATGGCAGGTGGGGGGGCACCCTTTCTGCTGCCTCAGCCCTAAGACAAGTGCAAACCAACAGCAAGGCCAGGTAGGCAGATGACCACTCTGCTGAGAAGGTAGCACCTTGCAAGAAGGTGACCTTGGCAAGACTTCTCTTTCCAGGGGCCTCAGACCCTCACCCACTAAAGGGTGCTCAGGACCCCCATGCCTTCTCTTTATACCCAGGGACAGTCTCCAAGGGTCAAGGACAGAGCCTCTGAGCCCAGGAAATGTCCTCCATGCATGACACATGGGCAGGATGGGGGGCTGTCAGGAGCAGAAGACGGGTCCAGGACGCCGCCCCCCCACCCCCCACCATGTCCAAAGGAGCCACTGAGAGCCCTCAGGCTTTGGGTTTGGCATCCCATTTCTGCTGCCCACCAGCCCCACAGGCAGTCCTCAGGGAGCCTTCGCCAGCCCAACCCAACTGCCGATGGTGAGGGCAGGCCGCAAGAGGATCAATAAATCCGCCCTTGTTGCCATGATCTGGGGCTCTTATTAAGTAAATTAATTTAAGTTAATTTAGCTTGATCACAACTCCCGATCTGGGTGATTTAGTGAGGGGAAATTGCATTCGGAGAGGCCTGCTTACAGAGCGGACAGGCAGGAACGTGGCCCACTTAGTGGCAAGAATTAATATGGAAAGAGCAGGTGTAAATTTAACCTGATCGAGAGTGCAAAATTATCTTCATAAATTTGTAGAAATGGCCCCCAAGATGCTTATACATCTATTTAAAATAAAAATAATACAAAAGTGCAGTAAGGCTCATGTAAGGGAGATTCCGCTCTGGCCTTTGAGCAGTTGGTGGTGAGGCCCAGCACTGCCCACTGCCTCTGCCACAGGCCTGACCAGCCACCAACACTGTCCGTACACAGGGTATCGGGTCACCTGCCCCCTGAGGCGCAGAGGAGCAGGTCTGCCATTGCCTGTGACTGCCCCCTCAGCACAGAACCTCTGAGAGGGACCCCAGGGCTTGGGCCCACCTACCCTGTCATCTGCATGCTGGCACTCCTTCCCCTCCCCCAGGCTCGGTGAGGCTGGGCTGGCCGGGCAGCACAGGGCTCAGGCCGGTGGTGGAGCCGCACATAACCTGCAGGGCATGCTGCATGTGGACTCACAGTGAGTGTGCGTGTGTGCATATGACTGTAGTCCTGTGTGGGAATACACGTGCACACATCCTGGGTGGGAGTGTACATGCGTTTGCATCCATGTGTGGGTGTGAGTGTGCATGTGTGTGCACATGTGTAAGTACCCATGAGTGACAGGGAGCGATTGCACTCAGCACGTGGGCCTGTGTGTGCACACATGCGTGGACCTGGAGCTGGCTGGCACAGGCTGACAGTCTCTGGGATGGAAAATGCTCAACAAACAGAAACAGGAAGCAATTTCCCAGCTGACACCCAGGGGCTCAGGCAGAGTCCCTGTAGTACACAGCAGCCTGGCCCTTGAGCCCACCCCCCACCACCCCACTCCCGCAGACAGGCCACAGCTGCCAGAGGAGCTGTCCCTGTGCCCTTACCTGGGCGAGAGGCGCCGGGCACGCCAGTGGGGGGAAGACTGGGGGCTGGGCAGGGAAGCCAGGCTCCTCTTGACGATGCGGTACCGTGTCTTGATCACTTTGCTGGTGGGGGGGGTGCGCAAGGGATGCGGGCAGGCTGTAGAAAGATGGAGCCAAGGTAAGTAGGGGCACCCAGAGCCTGGGCTTAGCCAGAGGGTGGGGCCACCTGAGCCCAGGGAACTGCCATTGAAGCTTGGTCCCACCAGCCCCCACCCCCACGAGCACCCAAAGGACCTAGACTCTGGCTCCAGTCCAGAGTCTCAGGTGCCAATCCGACAGACACAGCCACCTGGGCCTTCACGGGCTGGGCCATCCCTCCAAGGCACAAGGCCCAGCAAGGGAGCAGGGAACCTGCTCTGCAAAGGGCTTTGGAGGCCTGGCCTGACCCCTTCCCTGCACCTCAGCTCTGCCTGCAGACTGATGCATATCATCAGTGCACTGAGATGCTCAGCTGCACGCTTGCTGAATGTTCCCGCAATTAGCAAGCTCCCTCCTGCCCAGACTCTGCACTGAGAGCCACGCACTCTCGAACGCTGAGGCTCCATCTAATTGCCGGGCTGCCCTAGCATGTAGCACTAACTGCCCTATAATTAACTTGTCTGCAAGGTCAGCAGCCCACCTACTAAGCAGACAGGTGGGTGGTCCCAGGGGAGGGAGGACACAGGCTGAGGTGTCCTTGGCTGGCCCCCTGCATGAGAGGCTGGAGAGGGTCTGGGGTGAGGGGCTACTGTGGCCCACTGCCCTCGCCCTGCAGTGCCCACGGACTCAGCACACCTGGAAGCTGCTCCAGCTGGCAATAATCTCAGGGCCTCGAGCAGCTGCCCTGGCTGGCCGGCAGGGGGCCCACAACTCAACCCGGGAGCCCAGAGCTGCCTGCCACAAAGCTCAGATCCTGCCAAGGGGCCTAGGGCACAGCCAGGTCCGCCTGCTGTGCAGAAGTCCACCAGGGTCAGGGCTCCATTCACCTAGGCCAGAGGGTTGCACAGCAGGCCTGGGGCCACACACAGCTAGCAGGTGTATGCAGGGCCTGCATCCCCCCCAACCCCCACCACCACCCAGCCCAGTATCCAGAAGCCCCTCAGGCCAGGGCAGGGTCACAGCACCACGGACATGCTGGCTGCAGCTGAGCAAACAATGGCTCTACACTGTCACTAAAAGCAGGGGCAGAAACTGGACCAGGAGCCTCTTTGAGTTCCAGCGTGCCCAATGGGCAGCAAAAAGGGGCTCAGGGTACAGGCACAGGTCCCATGGCCCGGCTTCCCCTACCTGGGTCACCACACCATAGCACCCACAGGCAGCCTGTGGCCTCCACTGGCCAGGGACTGGCCCCGCTGGGCCTGGCCTTCTCTGCACACGTCCCCAGGCAACTGATGCCACACAGGCCCGGCTCAGCCACATTTTCCTCACCAACTTCCTGCGTGTGACGTCACTGACGCCGAATGGCTCTGAGGCCAAGGGCACTGTCCGTCCGCAGGGCCATGCGGCCTGCACCGGAGCCACTGGGCAGCCAGTAGTGGTGGCAGCCACGCCCAGCCGAGGAGGCAGGCAGGCTCCGGCTTGGCTCCACATGGCGCTTCCCTCGGGCCCGGCTCACCCACAGGCCGGCTGCGTCTTTACGGCCTGCGAAGCCCCAAGGAGCGAGCGTTATCAGGCCTGCACACGCGGCCTCTCCCTGCCATGCGAGGTCACAGCTAATGACTAATCGATCTCATTAGCTCTCCTAATTAAAAACTTTACTACCGCCCTGGAAGACAAACTGCAGAAAAACTGCTGGCATCACACGTGCACGGGATATGAGCCCATCGGTCAGGCGGCTCGGCCCCCGCCCTGGGCCGCCTGCTGCCCTGCGCCGGGCCAGCACACTCAGCAGGGGCCGGGGCGGGCCTGGACCACAGCCATGCACCCCAGCAGCTTCCCTGCTAGCATGGGCTCCCGAGGGGCCCCCAAAGCTCGAAGGTGCAGTCCAACAGGCCAGCTGGAGCTCAGCGGCCAAGTCCTGCATAGGTCAGGGCAGTGGAGGAGGAGTTCACTGTTTATGGCCCTTGGAAGGGAACTCAGAGAGAAGAGAACGAGTTGCTGATTTCACGACTGGCTAATGAACGAATCGATGAAACCAGAATCGCTACTTTGTGCAAAGCACCGCCCGCGGCTCAGAGGCTGCTCCAGAAACTCGGCGAGTTCACTCCAGTCTGGCCACAGCGTGCTGGGTTGTGGAGGAAGCCTGGCTGCGTAGGCGGCCTGGACAGATGCCCACCACACCTCAGGCCTGCGGGGCAAGGCCTGAGAAGCCCCTGAGTCCCAGCCTCTGCAGAGTCCCTAGACAAGAGCCAGAGGCGGCAGCCCTGGGTCACGCAGGCCAGGCTGGGAAAGCTCTGTAAATCCACCAAAGGCTGACTCTGGGCATCAGCTGCAGGGCCAAGTGGGCCTGCGGAACTGTGCTGGAGGCCAGACGCGGAGTGTGCAGTGTGTCCGTCTCTGAGCCCAAGACTGGCTGGGCCTGTCAGCAGGCAGCTCCCCGCTGTGGTGTCCTGGGTGCCAACAGGTACCACAGCCGGCTGGCAGACAGAGGTGTGCTTGGCCAGGCCATATTGACTCAGGGCCACAGTCACTGACCAGGCAGACTTGGGGAAGTGAGAAGACAAGGACTGAGACCCAGAGGAGGGGTCCAAGGGCTGTCAGGAAACCTCCAGGGCCAGGGTTGCTGGCTGGCAGCTCAGGTCTCCCCCCACCCCCACCCACCCCCAGGCTGTACTCAAGCACTCTGGGGCCACCACAGCACATCCACTGCAATGCCCTCTCCCACCTTATCCTGGCACGGGCCTGCACCCCACCCCCGAGCGTCATCACTCACACTAGCCTGCGGGCCTCCCACGCCCCTGTGGGGAGGTGGGCTGCTAGAGCCCCCTCTCCTAGCCCCTCCTGGCTGGGTCCAGAGGAGCCCTGCGTCAGCCCAGCCTGCAGACCCCCCAACCCCTCAGGCAGTAGGTCAATCACAGCACAGCTGATGGGTGCCAAGGAGGATGACTGGAGCCGATGAGCCAAGCTGGCCCGCTGGCCCGAGTGGCAGCCATGGGTGACACAGTGCCGTGGCGCCCTCAGGACAGATGGGCTGCTCTGAGGAGTGGAAGGCCCCAAGCTGAGAAATGGGCTCCAGGTCGGAACACCTGCCCACTGCAGGTGGGTCCTAAGGAGCATGCGTCTAGGGAACGGAGGCAGTGAGCCCCAACACAGGTGAGCAGCAGAGTCCTGGGACGGTGGCCGAGGACATAGTCTGGGTGTCTGTCAGCAACTGGGTGTCTATGCCACTGCTCACTCCCCGCCCCTCCCCCTGCCAGGGAGAGATGGATAAGGGGGGTGGGTGACGGTGGGAGCTGCCAGGGTGCAGGCTCTAACAAGCTTCAGCGGCGTATGACTGGCATTCCCAGCTGCATTTTTATGAGACTAATAAATCACGGCACTTGCCTCTCCCTGACGGCTCCCGGCTCCCGCACTTCACAGGCAGGGAGTGGGGTGAGGGTGAGGTTGGGGGTGTCATGGATTGGCAGTGGAGCCCCAGGGGCACACCAGCCCTCCCACCAGAGGCCAGTGCCCACAGCAGCCTTTCAGAAGCCCTGTGCTGCGGCAACAAGGGCAGACAGCACAGGCAGGGGCTGTCGCACCACAGGTGGCTGAGAAGACAACATGGAGTGTGTGTGTGTGTGTGTGTGTGTGTGTGTGTGTGTGTGTGTGTGTGTGTGTG